TTTTGCTCCTTCCCTCCCCACCCTCTATCTCTCTCTCTCTCTCTCTCTCTCTCTCTCTCTCTCTCTCTCTCTCTCTCTTTCTCTCTCTCTCTCTCTCTGTCCTATGCTATGAGTAATGATACATAGTCAATGTCTTTGCATTTAGAAATAAATGAATGGATGGAAACAATAATATATAATAATCAGAGAAATTTCTTAATTCTGTTCCATTGGCCACATATACGTCGCCTCTTACAGTCACGCAACCGAGGCGATTTATGTATATTCCCTTGGAGATGTGTTGTGTTTTCAACTAAAATTGATCTGCTGACGCCCATGGCATTATATGAAACAAATGTCTTTTTTTCGCCGATGTCTCCCTGAAGACATCTGGTTAGTTCATTGTCAGAATAATGTGACTGGGATGAATGTCATTCTACTCTGTAAAGGGATACGTTTTTTTAGTGAGATAGCACTTCAAAATGATTCTTGTGTGGCCCCCCATTATCATCGTCTTAGTATGACCTGAAATTGGATTAGACAATGCAACACGGCGGGCAACTGCACTTGACCGTTTACCCGTACGATTACACGTAGACCGGTGTACATGTAACGCGATCATTGTCACGTTTCGACCGCTAGCTTGGGTATAGTTATATGTTGTCATGTAGTTTAGATAACAACACAAAGTTTGTTTACTTTATAGATGACACCGTTGTCACGTGTAAACACGCGTTGTTTACTATACCCAGCATACTGCAGATGTCCACAGGTATGGGTTGCTCTCGTGATGACATAGTCTAGATACATGTTTTGGCTGAAGGTCATTCAAGTCTAAGGTTACATTATCGACTTACATAAAAACATGCGACACGACGATTTAAAACGATAAATGCTGAAATCACACATTTTTCGGTCCTTATTAGTCCCCCACCGGAACTCAGAGGGAGACGGGGGGGGGGGGGGGGGGGGGGGGGGNCCTACAATACACTCGCGTTCTGTCACCTGAGATTTAGAGTAGATATTGGGACTCGGCCGTGAATAAAATTTGTTGCCGCAATCTTAGACACCATGCCTTGTACTGACTTATACTCTGACACTATAGAAAGTAAAGAAAACCCGAGTCCTTTACATATTTTGTATCCACAGTACACGTGCGAAACCTGCGCGTAAATCGAGCACATCCAAAATAAAAGGTATATTACTGAAAATACTTTAAATAAATCATATAAATAAATTAATAGTTCTCATAACAGCCAAGCACAAATAAATTAAAACTTTTTTATCGGTAATTTTGTTATGTATAATGAACATGTATATAACAAAAAAAAAAAAAAAATCCATTATCTTCGAAGATTGGACTTTAATTCTTTTGTTGTAAACTACGCGCAACAATCTGCTAGCTGTCGCGCGCTTTTTTCTCCATTCCGCCATATTGGATGAGTCATACTTGTATTTATTATTAGACTAGAACGGAACGGGAGTATTAGTCAGCCATGGCGACAGTTCCAGTCTGAAGATCCAGTGTTAGACTAGAACTGGAGCGGGAGTATTAGTCAGCCATGGTTAGACTAGAACGGGAGCGGGAGTATTAGTCAGCCATGGTTAGAATAGAACGGGAGCGGGAGTATATGTCAGCCATGGCTGGACTAGATAGGGAGCGGGGGTATTAGTCAGCCATGGTTAGACTAGATAGGGAGCGGGAGTATTAGTCAGCCATGGTTAGACTAGATAGGGAGCGGGAGTATTAGTCAGCCATGGTTAGACTAGATAGGGAACGGGAGTATTAGTCAGCCATGGTTAGACCAGATAGGGAGCGGGAGTATTAGTCAGCCATGGTTAGACCAGATAGGGAGCGGGAGTATTAGTCAGCCATGGTTAGACTAAAACGGGAGCGGGAGTATTAGTCAGCCATGGTTAGACTAGATAGGGAGCGGGAGTATTAGTAAGCCATGGCTAGACTAGATAGGGAGCGGGAGTATTAGTCAGCCATGGTTAGACTAGATAGGGACCGACTTTTGAAAGCTTCTTTCTGATTGGTCAGTCCGCTGCAGAATGACTTGTCGCCAGCACAGGTCACAGAGTCATTGGAATGAAACTTTTGTTAGTCAAATTACAATGTAGTGACAATACAATTTTAGTGTTCTTTTCATGAAACCAAGCAAATGTTTGCTGAATTTTCGTATGTGTTTGTGTACTGCAAAGAGTCACGGTCGCGTGATATTATTTACCGGCAGGAACTCACAAGGTCACATACATGTCAATTGAACCGATAATGATAAAAGTTAGAGTTTGAAAAATAGATATAAACAGGCTCATAACAGCCAAATACATTCCAATCTTCTTACAAAGAAGAAATGCTGAAATCACAATTGTTTGGTGTTTCTCATGTCAAGCGAATTTGGCGATTGGCGGTCCTCGTCGGACCTGTTTGAGTGACTGCCTTTAAGCGTACATATTCTGCCGATAGCAATGTCCGATTCAGTCTGATTTGCAGACGTTCAGAAAACTTCTTGGAATCTCGTATTTTATAAAATTAAATTAAAAAAAAGATTTATCCGGATATAAGATTGAATTTAAAGTTATTGTTGTGAATTTTTTTTTGTTATATTCCAATTACCCGTTCTGCCCATGCCAGGTGTCATCAGATCTTCCCGTATTCGAGGTGTAAATCAACGCTAACGTTATATTTGCCACATGCTTTTTTATTATTATATCCACGTGTTTGAATGTACACCTGGTCACTGTTAGACCATTTTGATTGATAGGCGGAAATATGTCAGTTGTAGCTTGGCCAATGAATTATTAAACAGGAGATGATCATACAGGATATGATCATACAGGAGATGGGATGACTTTCATGTTATTTTGACATATTTTTTTCAACATTTAAGACGCTCATAACAGTAGAGTAAGAAATCTAATCATACTTAATTAGCACACTTTCGCTCAATAATAGCTTAGCATAGAGAAGCCTCTTTTTCAATAAAAAAAACCCCATTGATACTTGAGTTTGAAGTAAATCGTTCCCGGCAGTTAAAAGGTTCAATGAGGTTTTGATTTCTGTTATCATTTGCAGAATTGTGTTTTATCAAGAAAAGTTAGCTTATTATTTGTAACGTGTTCCTTGCTACAGTTTGCTGCAAACAACTCATGGGAAATACCTGACGAGGCTCTGTCTATGAATACACCGACCGGAAGTGGTATCAAACAATATGATGTCAAATTCGTGACGTCACCAATCTTCGGAGTTGTTGTCACCCGAAAATCGACTAAGGCCGTAATGTACGTTGAATAATAACTCAAATATTTTCTTTGTCAAGAACGAAAAAGTAATATACACTAAAGTGCATTTCAGAGCAATATGCACCAATGCAGTTACTCTCACCCTTTTCATAATGTTTTTATGTATAAAATATTATATGCTTTTACTTTGCAGATTCGACACGTCCGTCCCTGGTCTCATCTTTACTGATCAATTCGTACAAATTTCGACACGTCTTCCGTCCGAAAACCTTTACGGGTTCGGCGAACACCAACATAGACGGTTTAAACATGACATGAACTGGAGAACGTGGCCAATCTTTACCAGGGACGTAGCACCTGTGGTAAGGCGGTTTACACCTATTTGGTAAAACAATGCATGCGTTACATAATACAGTAAGAATGAAAATACACGATTCCCCCCCCC